TTAAAGTTTACCTTTTATGGATGTTCTACAATTGCTTCCATTGATAAGGTTGGAGCTATTCAAACAAATAGAGTAGTTATACATACACCCAGAGAATTAAGATCCTAGTTAAAAATAAAAAACCCAAGATCCTAGCTAATTTTGTTAGAGCAACCATTATTTTCCTTTTGAGAACAAAAAGTAAGAAGTTTTATCAGATTTGTCAACAGTTAAATAGTACTAATCAGATATCTTATTCTCTCAATAATTTGATGTAAGCATTTTATAGTAATAGTAGTAATAGTATTGCTAAGAATTACTAGCACAGTATTCCTTTTTCCATCTAATAAATACCATCACATGAACCGAATTAGTTTTTGGCTAATTTAATCCAATGAAATTAAATTTAATTAGAAGACTCTTGAGATTTTTCGAGCTAATATCTGGATTTAAAAGTTTATTATTGAATTGGACTCAAAAGCTACGATTTCTTGGATATGTAATAAGGGATAAAGGTCATGAATTTATAAGCACAAGTTCAATGGATTCAACTGCTATTTGAAAAAAATTGAGAATTTAGATTTTGTGCATTTCTATTGGAAAGAAAATATTTTTGTAGATTCAATGGCCAAATTTTAAATGAGCAGAAATAACCGTATAAATTAATTTTGTGAATCAACATTTCATGCCAAAAAGGTTCATGTCGAGCTTGATAAAGACAAGCTCGTATCTATAGAATCCACTTCAAGCTTGATATCAGGAATTAAGCAGTTCTTTTATTGTTTCACAATTCAAATTATGATGCATGCTTACTTATTTATTTCAAGAATTCTATCGTAATTTACTTTTCTTGATCTATATTCATGACTTTCTGCATCACCTTGCAAACAGATTTTCTCTTAAAATATTTTGGTGACACTGATTTTTTTGTGGGTGTTGAGGTTGTATCAACATCTACAAGCACGCTTTTATCACAGCACAAGTACATTAAAGATGTTTCTTTTTATTGACATTAGACATGAATAATACTAAGGAAATCACTGCACCAATGGCTACCAATGTCGAATTTCAATTTAAAGATAGTACTGTTGCATTAGATCAAGCTCAGCAGAAGATCAACATCTGACAGAAGTTTAGTGATTGAAATTCAGCAGTAGCAGCAGACAATTCCAAGATCCTCAATCTTAAATGATCACAAGACCTCCATCTGTTCAGATCATATTGAAAAATCATACTTCATATTTTTTTAATACTTGATTTCTGTATACGAGTGATTGATCAATATAAGACCAATTCTATAAAACTATCAATTCTCAAATCATGCGAACATGTTTGCAATCCATGCACAAGGTTTTGAAGTTGTCAGGGAAAGAGTACCAATGAAGGAAACCGAGTGAAACTTTGCAGTAATAATCTCAAATTTTCTGTCAAAGAGCTGTTGAATTCATCCATTTAGTTGACAAATCATGAAAAATATGATTATTGGTGTAACTTATTCTAACATTTCCAATCTAGTCATCATATTTAAATCATTTCTGTAAATTAATTAAAGATCGGTTGTGGTACCCCATTGAACATTCTTCTTCAATTTTACTGTTGCCTAATTCAAACTTTTTGCAAGTCACCGAACATCATCATCCTAATGTTGTTGATCCCCGAAGAACTTTCTAATTCAAATTCCAGCCATTACCGCTGTTCAACTTCTATAATTTGCATTCAGGTTTTTCTTAACAAAGCGATTCTGCCATTAGACATAGAATTCTGATGAAATGATCAGATCCCTAAGGTCCCTGATCAATTATGTTGGCACATAGTTGGCTGCCTTGCTGAGAAGTACTAGAGAGAATTTTTGCATGGGCTGCCATGTTAGCTAAGGGAACTAAATCAAGATTATATATATATATATATATATATATATGTATGTATGTAAGTATGTAAGGATACAATAGTAAATTGATTATAGGATGGTTGGCTTTCCTCTCCGTCTTCTCTGTTTTAACTTACCCACATCCGCACAGCAATAGCGTCCACAAAGACCATTGGGGATTCAACTTTGGCAATTCGGATTTCGGACTAACAGGCTTGATGTTAAGTAGTCCATATTGGGCTGGTAAGATGCAGAAGAAAAAGAGGAGAAGAAGATGGTGGAGTTAGAGAGAGATAAAAAAGAGGAAAATAAGAAAAAGAATGGTTGAGAGAGATGAAAAAGTAAAAATATTTTATATATGATTTAATTAATCAGTATAAACTTTTTAATATTTAATTTTAAGTTCTAGAAATTTTTTATTTTAAGTCATTAATGAGGTGACACATTTTGGTGAGTTAACAATATATAAAAACTATGTATTATCAGTGTATCAAATATAAATACTGTTTGTTAATACTTTTATGTAAATATTCACTGAATGGCATTTCATTAACTGCTTTTAGGTGAATTTTTTTTTATCAAGGCAATTATTTGAACAATGAATTTCTTTGACCATTTTATTAATACAATAAACTTTATTTGAGTAAAAAAAAATTATTTCGATGAGGGAATAAAGTATTCTCCTCAAATTACAAAACACATGATTTTGGAGGGTTGGAGCTTTGAATGCTGAAGCATACAGCTTCACATTTACACAACTCACTATTCATTGATAAAGACAAGCTCATGCATGCAATTTACACAAGGTTATCTATGACATCCAATTCGAGCTTGATGTCAAGAATTAGCTTTTTTTTTTTATTATTGTTTATGGTTTTCACAACTCAGATTTTGATGTAATACTTATTTATATCAAGAGTTCTATCTTAAAATTCTTTTCTTGGCCTATAGGCATGACTTTTTCTTGATCTATATTTTGGCACGCTGTTCTTTTTTTTTTAGTGTTGAGGTTAAATCAACATTTGCAAGCACGTTTTTATCACAGCACAAGTACATTAAAAATGTTTTTTTTTTTTTTTTACAGAAATTAGATGTGGATAATATTAAGGAAGTCACTACACCAATAGTTACTAGTATCAAATTTCAATTGAAAGATAGTACTGCTGCATTAGAGCAAGGTCAGTAGAAGATCAACATCCCATAGAAGTTTAGTAACTAAAATTCAGCTGTAGTAGCAGACAATTCCAAGATTGGATCAGGCAAATCACGTACATATGCAGCAAGGTCAGAAGACACAAAATTTAGAACAAGCAAAGCAGGCCAATTGAAATCAAACACCAAGTTTGCAACGGCTCAATCTCAACTGATCATGAGATCCTCAATCTGTTCAGATCATATCAAGAAATCATACTTCACATCTTTGTATTATTATATTATTATTTACTCAGCAGATCTTTCTGTTGTTTGATTTCTGTAAACGAGTGATTGATCAATATAAGGCCAATTGAATAAGACTATCACGATCCATCCATGACATAAGGTTTTAGAGTTGTAAGGAAAAGAGTATTATTGGAGGAAACCAAGTGAAACATTGCAGTAATAATCTCAAATCCGCTGGCAAACAGCTTTTGAATTCATTCATTTAGTTGACAAACATGGAAAAATATGTTTATTGGGGTAACCTTTTTCTTTTTTTTTTTTGGTTAAGGCATAAATTTCATTAATGCATCACAATGATACATTAAGACTGGAAAGTTTATCCAGAATCAAGCGTTCTGGATTCCTGGGGTTGACCTTCCGTTTTGTTTCCCTATAGCCCACTTTACAAATAAAGCATCACCTAAACAGAACATCCATTTCTAGGATATCCCCTACAATTACAGTACATCCGTTTATTGATGTAACTTATTCTAGCATTTCCAATGTAATCATGATATTTAAATCATTTCTGTAGATTAATTAAATATAGGTTGAGGCAACCAATTAAACCCTTTTTTTTTTAAATTTCATTTTTTCTTAATTCAGACATTCTATGAGTTGCTGAACATCATTATCCTAACATTGTTGAACCTCGCAGAACTTTCAAACTCAAATTCCAGCCATTGCAGCTGTTCAACTTCTATAATTTGGAATCAAGTTTTCTCTGAGTATTGTTCTCAGATTGAAAAAGAAAAATTGCTTGCTACGCTTGTAAAACCAGTATGAATGGTGGAATCCTGGTATATAGTTTCTGATATAAATATTTAGTTCGATGTTAGTGTTAAAATAATAGATTAATATACCTTAACATTTTAGCGTATCATCAAAATATGATGTCATCTAAATCCAAAGATAAAGTCTTATCATCCTTATCAAATTGTTCCTAAATCGATTTTTAATTAAAATGTGAGACTACATTTATTAAAATTGAGATAAAAAACCAAAATTCCTATGTAAAGAAGAATTGCCCAACAACCGGTCAAGTTCTTATGGTGGCAATGCATGCCAGCAACCAGATGGATCGCCTAGTCCTGTGAGAAAGCCGATCAATGCGTCTTTGGACAGGTGCAATATTAAATCTTTGACATTTTTGCTCTACTTGCCGCATGATTTACTTGTTAGAGTATAGTTTGTCTGTCGAGTCAACACTTGTTCCTTTATCTGAATTGTGTCTTCTTTCTTACTGTGAATCATATGCTCATTCGGCATCTCTTCTGGTACAGTATCTCTTGGTTCATTGCCCTCTGCTGTCACCATTCCATCTCCCTTAACATTCAAATAATACCCCTGATCAATTGAAGATTGCAGTGGCTTAGACAAGGTAGAATCTTGCATCTGCAACAAAACATAGAAGTCAAATAACTTGCCAGAAATAGTCAGTTTTTCTCTTGTAGCAGAATTATTTAACTAAATCATACATAAGAGCATTTGACTTATTAATTAGTACATGATTACCTTACCTAAACAGTAAAGTTCAAATCTCCTTCTCCCAATTATATTAAAAAAAAATACATAAGGCCTACCCTATTCGTCTAGGAGAACTGCTGCCAAAATATTAGAACTAAATAACAAAGCAATTCTGCCATTAGACATAGACTTCTGATAGAAATGATCAGATCCCTGAAGTCCCTGATCAATTATTTTGGCACATAGATGGCTGCCTTGCTGGGTACTCGAGAGAATTTTTGCACGGGCTGCCATGTTTGTTAAGGGAACTAAATGAAGATATGTTATATATATATATATATATGATTTTCATCCATATTTTATATTCTGTCTTTTATGACTATCATGACTCCCCTTCTCAGAAAAGAGTAACAAGCAGAAAAACAAAAACAGAAGACCAGGAACAAGATCTTGAGATTTTGCGGATAAGCTTCCAAAAAGGACAGCAGTACATTAGTCTATTGTTTATGGCTGTTTTGCCAATTTATAGCATTCTGGTGGATGGTTGTCTTTCGCCTTCTTCTTCTTCGTTTTAACTTACCACGCATCCGCACAGTAGAATTGTACACAAAGACCAATCGGGATTCAACTATTGCAATGAGGACTAAAAGGCTTGATATTTAGGCTTGTAAGAGGTTTAGGCTCCCAAGTCCTATCACCAACTAGGCCTATCTGTGACGTTGAATCCCTCTTACAGAGCAGCCCAATTTTGTATTCTTCTCGAATGAAGCCCTAGTATCATGGTTGTGTCTTTCCAATTTCCATGGAACATGAGCAAACTTAGTTCAATGGCTCTACACAAGTGCGACTTTACTCGGGCTGGGCGTTGCTTTGAACACAAATCTCCTTCACATTTAGCGTGGACAAATTGGATGGCACTGATACCGTTCAATCAAATTTTGTCTCAGAGAAAACGTTCTTTTTCCAAAGGGTAAACACATTGCAGAAAAGCAGACATGGCCCTTCCCGAAAGGCCTCTACCATCGTCCATAATCGGACTGAATCAAATAATCCGTTCAAAGGAGCTTAACAGCGTTGTTCAATTCAATATGTTTGATGACCGGGCACTGTCCAGTCGCTTTCAAATCCATTTCACCAATTCCACTCCATTATTTTGAACTTTTGACCTCAACTGTACCTTGAAACAATTTACTATCAATTAATAGCTACAGAGATAATGTTTACATCCAGAAAAATGCCTCTTTGCTACATAAATTTGACAATTTTATGCATAACTGATCAAAGATTCAGTTTCCAATTGGATATGAAGATTCCTGATTAATCCATTGGTGATGGCCATGCTATTAATTTAGATTTGACCCGTGGCTCCACCAAAATTAATTAAGATCCATCGACTAAATATATATGTTCCAGTCTCAAAGTAGAGCAAGACAACCAACATATGGAAGCGCATGTCGAGTTTCGAGTAAGCATATGATGAATCTGTTCTGCCACAAGCCCCGGATGTTAAGGAGAACATCAGAATCTTCTTTTCTATTTTCACTTTGCTTCGAATGATGAGTAACTAGGGACTTGCTGTGGAGTGGATCCCCAAGCAGCTGCTAGCATGCCATCCTTTTGTCCACAGAGAGTAATCCTGGCAATGTTTAGACAAATCGTGTGGGTGACTCGCGAGGGACAAGGGTCTTTTTGGGGTTCACGCACGCCATCGCCCGATTGAGTTGAAAATTAAATATACTAAAGAGATTGCTAGCTTTGCTTAGCCCATTCGGCCTGTTACTTGCCTTATTTATATCTCTTTGAAACAAGATATATTCATTGATATGGTAAGCATGAATTTGTCGTCAGCTTAACTTCTTGATTTTCCTCTTTCAATTGAAGGCCCTTTCATGTAAATTTGTGAAAATACCAATTTATAATAAAATGTTACGACTTAGTTAAAAAATAAAAATAAAAAGAACCTTTCACCATAACTAATTAATGAAAAATAGAAGAATTAATCCCTAGCTTCTACAAATTAGATTCACATTCAACGAAGTCTTGACAAGTTACTCAGTGGGTCCAAAATGGACAGCCAAGAAACAAGAGAGAAATTTAGGAACATGACATTGTAATCAAAACAGCCCACAGCCAAGTAAATTTTGGTTTCTTGTTTGTTTCAAGTGTCAAATATGCAGCCGAGTATTTGATTCGTTAGTTGGTGTATTATTTCTCTGTTAAAAGAGTAAGGTTTGAATCCCCTTTCTCCCAATTATAAAAAAAAAAATGTCAAATATTGTTTAGGTTATGATTTATTCCAACTACCTTTTCCTTTTGTTTTATAGAAAATTTTAAAAACCCAAAATGTAAATAATGAAAAATTAAGTAACAAAAAGGTATTAATCAAACAAAAATTACAGAATCTTTAATCTTAAAAAAATACTTTAAAATTTGATAAAAACAAACGTACTAGTAAATACAAACCACAAAAGCATACAATACATACACAAATCCACTAATTTCATATTTGCCTTGTGCTTATGGAAAAAATTATTTTTACCACAATGAGAATTAGGAAATGACTCAAATTGGAAAAGAAATCAAAAATCGAACTGCTCATTAATAAGAGATTAAAATTTACTTTTATAAGCTCAGAACGAAATTAATTTATTTGGAAAAAGATAAAAAGAGAAACTATTGAAATTCAAACATTTAGCAAAATTCTACTCAGAATTTATTAGTCAAATTAATTAGTTGATCCCACTAGATAATTTTAATTTGGTCCTTTCAATAAAAAAAGATCATTTTAATTTGGCAAGGTTAAGCTTTGGGGATGAGAATATGAGAAGAAGAGCACAAGAAGCTCTTCTCATAGAGAATAGGTGGGTGCTTCAGGCTTTGGAGCAAGGATATGAAAAAAAACCAGAATATGGTGTCTTAATCATCTAGAGCAAGCAACTAGGAACTTGGGTAGCTAGGTATTTCCTCATGAAAACAACAAGATCTGGCTGCAACCGAGAAATAATATTAGCAAATCCTAATTAGTTTAACAAAAAAAAAATCACCTAAAGAACTCACTGATTGGGGTGAAATAACCATATAGTTAGCTCCATATCCTGTTGAAAGGGTTGAGCTTCTTCGGCCGACGAACTGGCGTTAGAGTTGAATCTGATTAAATCACCGGATCCCTTTAAGGATCAAGGGAGGAGGCAGAAAAGCAGGTCAACGACGTGAACAACGCCTTTGGCAAGAGAAAGACTAAAAAACAAGTCTTATTATGTGGGGCTTTTCTAGTGCCCCAAAGGGCTTAATCAAATCAAAAATTAAAATCAAGCAGCTACTTTAATGGATCATCTCCATTGACTAAAAAAGAACTCAATCATCTTCACAAATATCTATAAAAGAAACTCAAAAGTAATAGACACTCTAGATCCTTAACTCAAGTTTTTAATTATTACTATATTATATGAACATCGAGAAAAACCAAAATAGTACCCATAGATAAAAAAAGGCATATATATATATATATATATATATATATGTATGTATATTAGTAGTACTCCTAAAGCGTTCTCCTTATTCTTCACAACCCAAATCTCTAAAAAGCTTGCAAGCTAGCAGGATAAGAAACTCTAGTTAAAAAGTAGTGGGAAAGCTCTACCATGACAGGCTTCAAAAAGCTTCCGTACCGTTGTTCTAACTGTCTTCGAAGTTTGAACTTGTATCTTCCTACCATCGTTTTGAGTGAGCAAACACTGCCCTCTATCGGGTATCAGGCAATGGGCGGTGCCAAAGTCAACTCTAAGTTCACTGCTCCGTCATATGGACTGGGTTGTCTCATAACAAAGTCCAAGCCAAGCCTTCCAGTACTCTTGGGATATGCCTCTACAGCAGCTTGACTAGTGGCATAGGTGGCCAGTGAACCACCCCCATTGAGGTCAAAGGGTGCCTCGATGTCTCCCTCTACTTTGGTCACATAGCATGCATGGAGCGATGGTTCACCCATGGTAATGCCAATACCCAACTTCATTTCTGTCTCATGTGCAGGCTTGAAGTGAGGCTTGCTAGTCGCTTCATCACTCACACCAGGGCCAAATATCCTACCAGATAGTATGGCAATAGCATGATCAACAAAAGGGAGCGACGCATCAGCTAGCTCCATGATAGCTCCCTCCTGTTTGACCAGTGCATCAGCCTTAAGCAGTTGCTCTTGCTCGTGCTTCAAGTAGCCGATTTTCGTGCGGCTTGTGCCAGTGGTTTCATCTACCTCATGATTCAAAGACAGAGCTCGAGCAGAAAGAGCCACGGATGGTGTCGCTAGCTTCTCCACTTCAACCCGATAGTGGAAGGAGCCCGCTTCATCTTGCACTTTGTACATGGTGAGTTTGTCACCAACACGGAAGTCATTGCAAATAACAAAATTTCTCCAACCACCGGAGAAAACAGGTTTCTTATACCCAGTTCTGCGGACAGAGCAGATAATTGGCCACATCCTTGCCCCATACATAAGGGGAATTGTCACGGCATTGCTTCCATTGAAATCTGGCAAGGAAGGGAGGATTTTACCCGGGATCGCCAACCTTTTTTTGATGTCAGTGTCAGTCAGTGACTTTGAGAACATCATTATTGCTGGAGGCATGGTGGCTGCCGGGCAAAGGCTGTCTGAAAATTTTAGTACAACAAGGATAGTATGAGATTGCAATAGGAAATTCGTTTAACCCACCCCATATATATATACACAAAAGAGATCCAACAGCACCCGTTGGCTTTCTTAGTTGCCCCTGTTCTTAAAAAAATTTGATTACTTATCACATGAAAAATAGATTCCACGTCGATGACCGCCATATATCGTTGTCGTTGTGACATTTTCAATCTTTTTTGGAAATTTTCAAATGTCGCTTATGCCTGCTGTCGTTGGTTTTACGTTTTTTTATTTTTATTTTCATAGTGTTTAAGATAAAATTTTAATTTTAATGTATTTTATATTAAAATTTAGTTTTTAGAAAATCATAAAAAAATAAATTTATAATATAAAAAATAATATTAAGTGTTAAAATAATTTTCATTTAAGGATATCCCAAAAAATTATGAAGAAAAAAAAGAGTCAAAAGAAGTATTAATATCTCTTCTTTAAATTCATAATTTAAGTGTTTTACTTGTAATATTGTTTAGTTTGATATGAAATTTTGTGGTTGTAATTGTTGTAATTTGACTAGTCTTCTCTAATTCAACAGGGAACAAAAAAAAAAAAAGAAACGGCCGACTTGCTCACCGCCAACCCTCTCAGACAATGGAAAAAAACCAGTTGTCTAGAT